ACTAGACCTCACACACAGGACCAGATCGCCGACAATTGTGGTGCTATTCCTCACTAAGAAGACTCCCGTCTCGTTCTCAGACATCAATATAGTCGTCGCTTCACTCCTATTGATTGGCCCGAAATACCAACTGATCCACAGGTGAACACAACAGACAATCATTAATACATATAACAAAGAGTTGGCCAACAATTGATAATTAGATAAACAATCAGTGAATTTAAAAAATGTAATCAGATTTTCAGAATCCGTAGACAATTGTCTCATCACATGTGTTAACAATCAAGAGATTGAATCAAATGCAATACAAACCTGTTTTTGTCGTACGGATCAAAGTTTGCTGCCATTTATGTACCAAACAATTGGACACTAATTGTAATAACAGTAATAATAATAATAACTAAAAATTGTAAACAAATTGTTGATCGCTTTGAACGCCAATAACACAGTTATTATGCAATCAATGGCATCGAGTCATGAAAATGAGATATCAGTTAACAAATCATGTCTTCATTTGACATTTAATGTCGATTACAAGTGAATGTAATTATGGTTACAATTAATGGTGTATTGGATTGTATTGACTGCAAAGTGAAGTGTGTTTTCCTGCGGATATAAATAGCGTTAATTGAATCACACGTTAAATACATGGGTATTGAAGTGGTGTACAGACTGTGCACTACAAGTGGACCGCCTTTACTGTACACCACATACTGTACTCTCTGTCGCATTACAGCACTATTATTGCCATTACAGACACACATCCCATACAGTGCTCTGCAGTACAGTATAGCCATTACTACAGCCATTCGTGACACACATTACAACACTAGTCTCACACTCCGACTATCGATATTATGTGAGCACTCAATACACACCAAAAAGCCATTCAAACAAATGGTATTTCATATGATATTTGCATTAATAGTGGTTTCAAATGAAACATTCATTTTGTGATCACTTGATTCACTCCTAATTGACATATGATTTGAATGCAATCAATGATTAACTCACGAGTGGATGGACTACTCATACAATCGATAGCACGTAAACCATGTGATCGATAGTATCGTATGAATCAAAATAAAAGTGTTTTGTATTTTCACATAAAGTGATGTTATTATTAGCGATGATTATCTCGTTTTGATCGCACTTTCATCACTCAAATCACTTCCACAAGAGTTTGTCCGCCGAATCATGTCTTCATTCAACGCCTGTTCCTCTCCTTTACGACCGGTTCCGCAGTTCTTCAACGACTGCAACGCTTTCACCACAAAAAAGGTAAACATTTGTTTGTCGACCAAAACATGTGATGTAAATAACCATTTGATTGCATTGTGAACGGCATTGAAGGCCCGCTTCAACTCGACTCCGTGCCCGAAGAAGGTGCCGCCCCGACCGCCGTCCAAGACTGTTCCACCCGTCAGCCGATTCTTCAGGCGACCCAACCATCAAACCGCTCACGCCATCAGTTTCATGGAAAACAGCGACTCTTGTATGACATGACTCTTGATTTACATGTTATCTCATTTCTAACATTGATTTTTAATTACTATCATTAGCTCTGAGCAAACATTACGACTCGACTCGTGAGGAATCGTATTTCGAGCAGTGCTTTGTGGTGGAGAAGAAGATAGGAAGCGGTTCTTTCGGTGATGTGTTTAAAGTGAAGAGTCTGGAAGACGGCCGCTATTACGCCATTAAGAAGTCTCGCGAGAGATTCAAAGGCAAGTCAGACCGCGAGAGGAAGTTGGAGGAGGTGTGCAAACACGAGCAGTTGCCCAAACATCCCAACTGTGTCCGACTCTTCAAGGCCTGGGAGGAGCGACAGTACCTCTACATACAGACCGAGTTGTGTGAGACCAGTCTCAGTGACTTTGCCGAAGTCAATCACGACATTCCACAACACATTGTATGCAACTATTTGGTCGATTTGCTTAAAGCGGTTCGACATCTACACGATCACCACTTAATACATCTGGACATTAAACCCGATAACATATTCATCTCCAGTGACGGTCTCTGCAAATTAGGCGACTTCGGGCTCGTCCTCGACATCAGTAAAGTATGAAAATATGATTTATCATTGATTGTATGGTTAACTCATTTTACTGTAATCTATTGTTTGAATAACAGAACGACAATAACGAGGCCACTGAAGGCGATCCCAAATATTTAGCCAAAGAGCTAATGTCCGGTCACTTCACAAAAGCGGCCGATATATTCAGTTTAGGCATAACTATACTGGAAATAGCCTGTGATTTAGACCTGCCGTCCGGTGGCGAAGGTTGGCATCAGCTGAGAGACGGCAGAGTTCCTGACAAACTGCTCACCGGTATGTCATTTGATTGAATATCATTTTGTGGACTAGTTTTGTATAATTGATTTTAATGTGATTTACATATGAATTACAGGAATTAATGGTGAATTAAGTCTAATAATAAAGGATATGATGAATCCGGACTATAGGCTGAGGCCGTCGGCGAACCAACTGTTAAGCCATCCATTCATTCGCCGAATCGATCGCTCGCGTCGTTGGAAATTAAAGGGCAAAAGAAGCGTGAAGTTAGCGAAAACATTACTTAATTGGTTTTTGCAGTATTTTATGAAGACTTTTATCTTAATTTGTTATCCATTCACATATTTATACCAAACCATCACAAGAAGGCCGCCCATTGAAACGCCCCTCAAGTCTCCAAACAATTCATACAATTTAATACAAAACGAATTCGACAACTATTCAGACGACGACTTGTTTGACGCAAGTTCTGTCTCTCTTAATAATTCACATTCAGACAAATCATCAGTCAGTGATGACCTGCTCTATGAGAACCAAAAGTATGGTTTGATTTGCATTTTTATTTCAAATACCATTTACTAATTGTCTTGAATTTGCCCTCAAAGTCACCGTAAGTTCTGTTCGACAACTGTTATACACAGACATCGGCCAGTGTTTGACCACACATTCACATCGCCTTCATTTACGCCGAGTTCGCCGATTCAGCGCTTTTATAACTCGACTCTCGCCGACAGTCCAACGCTGTTGAGAGAACCGGTGGTTCGCTCCAAACCAGTCATTAGCCAGAAACTCAATTTTGACGATCAATCAGACGAAGAGTCAGACGATTGCGATAACAAATCACATTCAATTGGACCCAAAAATCTTATGAATGTAAGTCTTGTTTTGATTTTATTGAACTGAATATTGATTGAATTGAATTTGTTTTAGACATTTGACGACGAATTCGACAACTATTCAGACGACGACTTGTTTGACGCAAGTTCTGTCTCTCTTAATAATTCACATTCAGACAAATCATCAGTCAGTGATGACCTGCTCTATGAGAACCAAAAGTATGGTTTGATTCGCATTTTTATTTCAAATACCATTTACTAATTGTTTTGCATTTGCCCTCAAAGTCACCGTAAGTTCTGTTCGACAACTGTTATACACAGACATCGGCCAGTGTTTGACCACACATTCACGTCGCCTTCATTTACGCCGAGTTCGCCGATTCAGCGCTTCTATAACTCGACTCTCGCCGACAGTCCAACGCTGTTGAGAGAACCGGTGGTTCGCTCCAAACCAGTCATTAGCCAGAAACTCAATTTTGACGATCAATCAGATGAAGAGTCAGACGATTGCGATAACAAATCACATTCAATTGGACCCAAAAATCTTATGAATGTAAGTCTTGTTTTGATTTTATTGAACTGAATATTGATTGAATTGAATTTGTTTTAGACATTTGACGAAATGGAAAACAATGAATTCAGTGATTGTTAAGTGCCTTAAATGCCTCACAAATAGTCGTGTTTTTACTTTTTTGAATGTTTATCTGTATTTGACATGAATTTGTATTTTTATTACATTTTTGATTGCATTTCATTCATCTTCTCATTACATACACCGATACAAAAATCATGTCATTTCCTGTATTATAATTGTTTTAATTGTGTATTTGAATGTCATTTACATTCGTTTTTATAATTATTTTAATTTATTTGATTTTTTCCAATCAATGAATAAAATTAAAAATCAATACTTTTATTAAATAATAACTTATGAAAATATTTTATTCATTAATTATAAGAGATTTTATGACGTTTGCAAGAAATGAGTCCATTATTTCAGTGAATATACCATTAAATAAGTTAACGGTTTTTGGATTTTATTTAATGATAACATAAATCAATATCTGAAACAATAGCATAAATAGCATCTCATTAAATGACATCTCATAATAATAGCTATCAATATATCAAATGCATGTACAGTACAGGTAAGTGAGTCCCACTTTTTTACTGTTATATCAACTTTTTGTTGCTTTTCTCTCTCATCATTCAATTGGGCAAAACTTTATACAATTTGATTGCAAACTAATAAATTGTGATTTCATTGTCACCAAAAAGTTGGCTCAAAGTGTAATTCATTTAATAAATATGTGATGAAATAGTTTTCTCATAACATCTCTGACTCCCACTCCCTCTCATCCGTTCCGTAAGTGTCACTCGTTTTTTGCTTACAAACTGTAGTCGTATTCAAAACATAGGTATCAATCAAATACCCATACATTTATAATAATATGATTCACTCTTCACACGAATAACGCTTTGCCCCCGAATATCAAATATTATTCACTCAAGTCTTATGGTTTGCAAAGTTTGTACAAAAGGGCACATATTTTTCGTACAAATAATGACATTATTTATAGTATAAAAATGAGTACAACTTTATCGGGAAATTGAGTTTTGTGTATAAAAATGCAAACATTGAGCTCTCATTGGTTCGCTTGTTATGTGGTTACTTAGCGACACATTATATTTCAATACACATAAACCATTGCTAGTAAACAGCGTTACAGTTATATATGGTTAAAATGCCCCCTCATATGGGCGGTGGACCCCCTCTACTAATGACACCGCTTTAATTCATACGATTTTTAATGCGATATAAGAATAAAAATAGTTTCAGTTTTAATGCAATTAACAAATTGTAAGATTAATTGACATTAATATATAGAGAGACGAAAAGCCGACTCACCCTTGCCTTTGATGTCTATATACAGACTTTATGAGTGATTCATTTGCCAACCGATGGGTCTGTGAGTAGTGTTTTGTGAACTGACTTTTGAGTGAAAGACTCAACACATCTATAAAAGTCATAAAAGACTCCGATTTTGGAAACAAATGATTGTTTTTGAATGAATTCATTGCTCTTTAAGTCACTGTTTATTAATTAATTGATTCATTGATTCATTCATTTGATAAACAACTCGTTGTCTGAATCGCAAAGCGTTTGACAATTGGTTTAGTTTTGGTAACAATAAGTGAATGATTAGATTGAATGCAAAACAACTGGTGTTTGCATTGAGTGACCAAAAAGATGTCTAAACTCTCGGTTGGGATCAATGTTGACATTCAAAGGACTAATGGTATGTAAAACATGTGATGAATGCGTGATATGATTATACGGTGTACTCATCGGTGATGTACTGATAGGTCGGATCCACTCAGCGGTGATCAGTAATATCGATTGGAAGAGCCGGAGTGTGACCGTCGAGTGGTCCGAATCGGATGAGATCAAAGGCAAAGAGGTTTGACATCCATATCATTGAATGCGTCCACACGTGTTGTCTCACACTCTTTGGTCCTCTATTTTCAGATCGATTTCGAGTCCATTTATGTATTGAATCCCAATTTGACGGAAACGCCGACCCAATCGGTCGGTGGGATTCCCCGCAAAGTAAGTGTCAAATGATTTGTTTTAATTGTTGTTTTTGTCCAACACTTCTCACAAACCTTTAAGACATGTCTAAGAAATGAATATCTTTTTCTTTGAACTCTAATCCCTTTCGCAGACAAACATTGAAAACGAGGTATTCTTTGAGTTCTTATTTTTATTGATTTTCGATTAACTTTTTTGTTTTCCATTAGTTATTGATTTTCTTATTAGTTTAGAAATACTTTTCTTGATTGAGTGAAAACTAAATTTTGAATAATTGCTGAACAGATAATGCCTGTGCGGGCGTCGGGTATAACCGCTCCGGTGACCAAAGGCTCTTTGCGTGTCCGACAAATCAATACCCGGCAAACGATGGCCAATGGAAATGGCGTGGCTTTAGAGCCGCTGCCAGTGGTGTCTTCATCTGCTAATCACGTGAATGCCTCGAATAAGTCAGCGGTGATAACGACTGCCAAAGATAAAGACAACGCTCGGCGCAGATCTAATGTCCTGAAAGAAGTGGACAAAATCAAGAAACAAAGAGAGGAACGGAGGGCACGACAGGCCGAACAGAAGGCTGAGAAGACTGAGTTAATAAATGCTGTCGAACCGCAACACCAACACCAATGGGAGTTCCTCTCTATGGTCAGGGAATATAGGGCTCAACTGGAGTACAAACCCATAACAATGAATGATTCCGTAGACTTCCATCAAATCTGTGTCGCCGTCCGGAAGAGACCGATGAACAAGAAAGAGGGCCAACGAAAGGACATCGATGTGATCACTATTCCTAACAAAGATCTGCTTATAGTTCACGAACCGAAACAGAAGGTGGATCTGACCCGTTATCTCGAGAACCAAATGTTTCGTTTCGATTACGCCTTCGACGAGAACGCCGACAACGAACTCGTCTATAAATATACGGCAAAGCCTTTGGTTCAGACCATCTTTGATGGAGGAATGGCTACTTGTTTTGCTTACGGCCAGACCGGCAGTGGAAAGACGCATACAATGGGCGGTGACTTTCACGGCAAGTCTCAGGACTCGGCGAAAGGCATTTACGCGTTGGCCGCCAGAGATGTGTTCAAACTGTTGCGCTCTTCAAAGTATAGATCAGAGGATCAGACGGTTTTCGCCAGTTTTTTCGAGATTTATAGCGGGAAAGTGTTTGACCTCTTGAATGGAAAGGCAAAGCTTCGCGTTTTAGAAGACGCCAAACAACAGGTTCAGGTCGTCGGCCTTCAGGAGAGACGTGTGGATAGTGTGGACGATGTGCTGAAACTCATTCAAATGGGCAATAATATCAGGACATCGGGCGTGACGTCCGCTAATAACCATTCATCGCGTTCTCACGCAGTCTTTCAGTTGATTTTGAAGAAACAGACGGGAAAACTAAAGGGAAAGTTCTCTCTCATTGATTTGGCCGGCAATGAGAGGGGAGCCGACACTTCGAGTGCCAATCGACAGACCCGTATGGAAGGCGCGGAGATTAATAAATCACTGCTCGCTTTGAAGGAATGTATCCGCGCTTTGGGCCGAAAAGGCGCTCATTTGCCGTTCAGAGCGAGTAAATTGACTCAAGTATTGCGCGATTCGTTTATTGGCGAGAACTCGAGGACTTGTATGGTATGTATTGACACCGGCGCTCATATGTGTGACCACTTGCTTATCATAACTCTTATGTTTTAGATCGCAATGATATCTCCGGGTGTCCTGTCGTGTGAGCACTCATTAAATACTCTGCGATATGCGGATCGAGTGAAAGAACTCGGAGCCGATAATCCGGACATTAAGACTAGCGATGGAGACGAAGACATGTCTGCGAGCGGCGATGATTTAGCCCATCTCCACAACTCTAACGTAAGTTTATTATTGTTTTTAACGTTTGATATTTTGATTTCACTAATAACTCGTCAATAGTCCCGAGAATTGCCCGAAGATTTGTATACATTTCACGAAACGATATCTCATTTACAAGAAGTAGAAGAAGAGTTACTCGATGTTCACAAGAATGTGATCGATGTAAGCGTTGATTGTGTGGATTGTGTAGAGAAGTTAATGTTAAACAATGTTGTGTTTTGCAGAGTATTCCGCGTTGGAGTCAAACGCATATAGATTTGCTTCAAATGACATCAGAGGTTGACTACGACGTCGACGCTTACGCCCAACAGTTGGAGGAAGTCTTAGACGAGAATTTAGAGGTTTTGCTTAAGTTTAAGGAAAAAGTGGTTAACTTTAGGACTCAATTGAATGAAGAAGAGTTGATGAGCAAAAAGTTTGGTTGAATTGAATTGTTTACACGATTTGGCGATTAATTTTAGTTTCTATACATAACTTATATATTTAATGAATTGTTTGATTTTAACCTAAATTCACAATTTTTTGTAATTAATATTCTGTAGACATTCCTATATTTTATGTTCGCTTTCATACCTTTAATTTGTATTTTCATTATATGAATAATTTTTACTATTATTGTTACATAAGATTATATAATAATTATTTAATTGAATTTAAAAATAAGCCTTTGATTCAAACTGTAATTATTATTCAATCATTTCAATGAAATGGTTTCGAAACAACATTTGATAAACGAATGAAAGTTAACAGAATTTGTGCCAAAATTCGTTTAATATTTTTCATTGATTATGCGATCCTTTGGCACGAAATGAGTTTATATTATATGATTGAATGGCAGTCGAGTTATTCGAGTAGTAAAACATCTAATTATTAAATGAATTGATTATATACTTGTATAATATTATAATTATAATTAATTACCAATTTCTTTACATCTCTGCGCTTTCAGTCAATAAAATACTAAGATTTTATTATTTATTACATATTTATTGTGTTTTATTCATTTCAATGAATGAGTGGTCAACTCAATCCGTCCACTCCCGGATTACTCCCAAAGCTGAGCGTAACCATGGTTAATTCGTCAAATATACTGTAAAACAAAGTTCCAAATGTTTTTTGCATTGAAATGACCACTAAATGAGTAACATTTTGGTACATTTGCCGAAGTCATGGTTCGAGAGGGGGTCGGAGGGGGCGGCTATTTGATTGGGTAAAGGAACACATGGTTTGAAAACATCAAATATTCATTTGTATACAAATAGAAATGCCACAAATTCTACTCTATATTTAGAAAAATTAACATCATGTTTACGGGGAAAACTGTCCCAGATAAGAAAATTGCACAGTAACAAAAGTAACATAATCATTTTTCCCATAGACGTAATGTTAACAAATTGTCGAATTTATGGCTGATTGAGTGCTCAGCAATCAAAGTAATTAAATATATAGAGTGAGCGAGTAAGAGAGGGTAAGAGAGGGTTAGAGAGAGAGAGAGAGAGAGACGATTCTTGAGATCACTTTCATATATACTTGTATAATATTATAATTATAATTAATTAACAGCAATCAAAGTAATTAAATATATAGAGTGAGCGAGTAAGAGAGAGAGAGAGAGAGAGAGAGAGAGTCGATTCTTGAGATCACTTTCATATATAATTGTGCGTTTTATAAAACTGATTCCCTAATGAATAAACAACATTAGCGTATATTGTTATGCAATTTAACTTATTATAAATTATTTTATATAAAATTAAACTTTAAAATATTTTTTGAAAATCCTAATTAAAAATACTTGTATAAGACCTTGGTGCAAACTAGACACATAATGATAACATCGTTGAATAACTGATATGTCTAGTGTGTGTGGATTATATTCTAGTGTGGATCAAGTATCTATTTTAATTTTGTAAAATCGGATGATAGCATGAATGAGCTTGGTTATATTTGCAGATTCCGAGACATTGTCTCCTTCTGTATATTAATACAGATCTAATTTTAAAATGATTTAATGTATAAATAGTTACGCATTCATTACAGTAAAGTATAATGTTTTTAAATACAACCCACGGCTTATCCAAACATAACAAGTTTTATTAATATTGTCGACGGATTTATTATACTTTAAAATTTAAATAAATAATCATTAAAATGTTGGCTTAAATTTGACTATAAATGGAAAATGTTTAACAATTAATGACATATAATTCATACAAAATTGAAAATATATTTCAAAAAAGGTTTAGTGAACTGACAATAAAATGATGTTATTTTATATGAAATTCAATAAAATATAATAGAGTTTTGATTTCAGAGGAAATGCATTGAAAATTACTTTTGTTAATTAATAAGATGTATTATAAGCTTCAGCCAAACAGAGAAAGGATATCAATTTGAATTAAACAGTTGTAAACACAATGTAATTATGATAAATCTATTTAAATAAATGTATAACGAGGTCATTTGTAAGTTATAAATATATGTGATTTTCTAAATAATTGGTTTTTCCATAAAATATTTATTGAGAATCGGTTTAAAAAGATATAAATATATTATGGATGAAAAAGCTGTCAAAAAAGAGCTTAATTTGAGGCATATTCTGATCGGATCGACAATTCTTGTGTTTGTATTAGTTTTGGACACTTCTTTGGGATTGAATTTTATTCCTAAGATAAACACCAGATTCTGTTACAACTCTCCCAACCCGTCGACCGTTAATGTAAATATGCTTTTAATTACAATATTGTGTTCAAAATATCTATATTTGTATTTGTTTTAAGAGTCAATGTGTTCTTTGCAATTACTATCTGTTTGACCAAACGGTGAGTTGATTTTCATTTCAATTAATAGACGATTAATTTTAATTTAACTCATTTTGTTATCTGAATATTTATTTAAAAATACTGTTCTAGTTGTTGGGATGTACAGGATCTGTAAGTATAGCTTGGTGACATAATATTTGTAATAAGAATTAATTAAATTTTATAATAACTGGTAAACAGACGGCCCTAAGCATGAATATAACCGCAGCCCAAGCTTTTTGTGTGATTTCTAATTGTCTCGGAGTATGTATTCATTATTTTTTTAAAACATTTGTTGGAAAAAAGTTTTTAACAACAAAAAAATGTATAGCAAGTGAAACAGTCGCCGGTATTTCTTGGCCGTAAAAAACGAAGCGAAGATATGAATGAGTATTTGAATGCAAACGACGACCGAAAGAGCGACGGAAATACTATTAACGGTGAAAACGGGTTGAAAGAAGGAGTCGGCGGCGAAGAGAGGGGCTCTCAAATGGTTTACAAATACGATAATAACGAGCCGTTTATTATTGCAAAAGAAGTCGAGGCTTTTATCGTTGATTTACCGGAGATTATAGACGACTCAATCATTTCGGTTTAAAGTAAATAATTCTACAATAAAACACAAAAATGGTATTTGAGTGGACTTTTCCTTCAGCTTGGGTTCAGTTATAGGGCAGAGATTTTGACAAAATGTTACACAAATTATTAGTTATTAAATTTTTTTTAATAAATTCACAACAAATTAACAAATTAACAAATTAAGTGTTTATTTACAAATTATTAAAATATTTGTAAAAAAAATACAAATAAACAGTCTATTGACAGTCATTCGAGTGATAATTTTAACAAAAATTAAATTTATATATTTTATGTAAACTTTTAAGTAAGTTATAATTCATAACATAATACTTATCATTGTATTAATCATTAAACAGACTTAATTAATCCTAACATAAATACAAAGAATTAAACAAATTTTTAAAGCACTTATTATTACATAATTGCATTTATAACAATATAATATATTACAATATGTTTATTAAATAAAGACAAAATAAATATTTATGCTAAACATAACTATTTTTAATTAAAAAGACTTATAATTAAAGAATTTAAAAATATGTTTTTAAATAACGTTTTTATGATAAAATAATTTTTATAAATAAATATTTAAGTAAATATTTGATCATGAATAAATACATATTCTGAAATTCTTTACTTATAATAAGAACTTTTGTAATAAAGAATTACTTTAATTTGCATATTTTTAGGAAGGAATTGTCAGTTAAAATAATGAAAAAGATTAATTTTATTTGATAATATTGATAAAATATTGTACTGTATGTAACTTTGCATCAGAAACTTGTAGCATTCATTTACAGGTGTTCTATAAATATTTACACAAATATTTACTATTTTATATTATTATACTGAATATTTCAAATATTACTGTAACAATTATAATTTTGTAATTAATTTAAAGAATTATTTTTTATTAAATAAATCTTACATTTGTTACAACTCTATCGTAAATAAACTTCATCCTCTTTTGTTTTGTAAGTAAAAAATGTAATTAAATATGCAATTGATTGGCCATTCTTTGAGGACATTTAATTCAAATGACTTAATAGTTGTGCCAATGATTTTGTTCTTAACTTAAATATCAAGTAATTATTGTTGCGATGAAAGGCTGACCTTTAAATTAGTGTCATTTCTAACATTGGCTTAAATTATTGCACCAATTGTTGCGGTCCTTCGTTGCATGAATTCAATGCAATTCTCTCTTCTCTATAATACAGTTATAATCAGCGATGAGTGAAGACAATAGTGTTTTACAAAACAGTTTCCAGTCTTCCTTCGAATCACAACTGAATCTATGCTAAAATAAATGCAAATAAATGTAATATTTTGTTTGTGACCTCTTTTTGGGGTCTTTTCTGAAATTTTGACATAAAGTTAATCAGAAAATAAAGTTAACTAGAATTTCAAAATGAATTTTGTGGTCATTTCTTCACTTATTATATTAATATTATTGATTTGTGATTCTCTGTCATTACCAGTGGTGAGTATTAGTACAAGAAGTATTGATTAATTTATTAACAATTTTGTATTTGTTTGCAATTAAACAAAGACCCGAATGAGAGTCTGTGTGCAGTCGTCGGACCCGAATCGACTACAAAGTCAGTGCGTTTATTGTAATAATCGCTTTTTCCAGGCAACTGTCCGCCACTGCACCACAAATGTATGTCATATTTATATAGAAATTTGAATATTTATTTTAAAATTTTAATCACTGTTTTCTTAGACATATCTTCCGGCGAGTCTAACAGTAGAGGAAGCCTTCTGTTTGGTTAGGATATGCCGACGAGTAAGCAATTTATAGCTAAATTTATATAATTTTTTTATTAAATATTTTATTATAATTGACAGCAATTGCCTTCTATGAGACCCGAACCATATTATCCTCAAAATATCCAACAATTGCAACCGCCTATCGATACGATCGGTGCGAATGATGTCGACTATACAGAACCGGAAGCCCTTTATTCTGATAACGTCTCGAGTGGTGCGACGACCAGCAAAAAAAGACCCCCCGCTTCCTTTTCAGTCGGCAAACCTCAGCGACCGATCGGTAATATTATATTTCATTCTAACTATTATTCCTGATTTAAATGTAAAAATTCTTGGTAAAAAATTTGAAAAATGTATATTTTTTGTACGATGTTTATCATGAAAATTTACATTAGATTTAAATATTTAAATAGTGATTAATATTCTATTGCAAAATAATGCATTACATCATGCATTACATGTTATATATATTATTTATAGGCTAAAAATTAAAATGTATACATTTTAAAATTTAATTTTAATATCTTAACATCAATTTATAATTTATATAAATTGTAATGTAGCGTACATTACATCTTTTTATCTAGCTTTTCGGAGACTTTTTTTTGTTGTAATTTATAAGTTATAAATTATAAATATTTGTTGAGATTTGGATTTGTGCTAACTGTATAACAATCTAAATTCTATTCTGTAGAAATGTATTTTTCTATGAATAGCTTATTTATCAGGTGTTAGATGTTCTATACTATAGATTCTATATAATGTATAGAACTTAACATTATTAATGAATTGTAATTTGATAATTTAATGAATTTCTTAACAGTCCGTCCCTTTCTATTTGGAAAACGAAGCATTGATGACACTTATGGTCAGTATTCATACAATAATAATTCTCTTCCGTCAAAAACCAATAATCAATTGTCAAAGAATTTAACAGCAATTTAAGTAATAATATCACAAATATTTTACCCACAAATAAAAACCACTTTAATTATCTGTTCTGAATGTAGGTCTAAATTAATATACAGTATTTAAATCATATAGTTTTGTATTTATAGATTCATTAACATTACTAAAAATGTAAATAAAATTATTTTTGTAGTGAATCAAAATGCTATTTATTTAAATTAATGTAAGTATCAATTGGCAGAGAATTAAAATATAATGTTTAGAATATATATTCTTTTTAGAATGTATTCTAGAATAATATAATATTAATAGTAATAATTGCTAATAATTTTATGTTTGTCTATATTATTGATAATAAGTTGTTTATATTATGGAAAAGAAAGTGTAAATTTATTTAGTGTTTGTTTATGTGGTTTTTGTATCAAATCTAGTGTTTAATTATCAACAATTCTTTGACATGAAATTTTTTTAGTAAACAAACTTAATATTAATCTTTTATAAGACTGTCTGACAATTGCAAAAAAGAGTTTATCTAATTTCGTCGGTTTCCATGAGATGTGAGTTCAGGGAAAGTCATATTCAATAAGAGATAAGATATGAAAGCAAAGCATGAGGTCTTCTAATAAAGATATGATATTTCAAAAATATTTAATGACAGAAATGTATAATTTATATATAGGTTATAACGGATCCCAAGAGAATGTAAGGGAAGGGCTGCTAATAAGTTAATAGGACTTAATTATATGACTAGCGATACAATTGCTTAGAAACCTGGCATCGGATGACAATTTCCGGAAACATAATGTTAATAAACTGTGAAAAATAGTTTTCTTATCATCTCTTGTGCCATACATTTCAATACAATATCATTCAAATACTTCTATTAGACGTGTTTTCGGATTACTTAATAAGTGATAGTAATTTGAAATACTTTTTCAAATGAAAAGTTATTACATATTACTGTTACTTATATTCCGGTTATTAATGATTAGATAATAAGAAGAGACTATTTAGTCATCACTTATGTTATTAATTATAATTATAATGAAAATGTTTGTCTAATTGTACGCCAAGACAATCCGTTTGAATCAGAGTCTGCTTCAGAGATGGCCGTTCAGTTGATCCCATCCTTAGAATACTGTACCAAAACTTCCCAAACAAGTTGTCAAACTATTAATATTAAAGCTTACATAACATAACAGTATATGCTTTGCTGAGTACAGGCCCCCTTACCCTCCCAAACGCCCCCCACATATAATAAGGAGCTTTGCATTGTGTGTATGGTATGTCTGGAGGAGATTCTGAGATCAGTGACCACTGAAGGGGAGCCATAAGGGGAGTCAAACTGGTCTTACATTAGATGCTGTGATGCAATGAAAGGGCAAAAGACTCACTCCTTCTCATTCAACGCATACGTTATCACAACTCTTACCCCAAAACTCCCCTTTCCTTCTCTACCCATAGAGTTATGGCTTTATTTCATAACAGTTTCCGGAATACAAGTAAACATAATTTGTGTACAAAAGAGAGCGATAGACCAACAAATGCTTTAAATTTAGGGTTATTTTGAACCTAAGATTGTGGCGATAATGTTATGCAAAGGGCTGCAGGAGTGCAGAGGTGCCCAACTTTGTGTCCCTAAATAAACTCACTTGTATTACAAATCTAAATATCATTCAACATATTTCTAACCACATTCAAAATCACATGAATTTTATAAAATAAAAATTCAATGTTAAAACATTGAGCTAACAATTTAAACGATAGCAATGTGTAAAGGCTGGCATAAAATGGGTTGGGCTGGGGGTGAGACAGTAGTGCCATAAAGTTTGGCGCTAGATAGTGTTGGAATTGGTGCGATTGCAGCATGGTCATTCTGGTCTGTTCTCGTACGCCTAATATTACACACATTAATAATGGTTTGGCCGAAAATGTGGTCATTTGTGTGCAAATAGATGTGAATTAAGGGCTGATTTAGTGACTGGTGTTGGCTGTGAGGGGCTGTGAGGGGGTGTTTGGGACGAGTGGTGCCATCAGTTGTGTTGAGTTGTTTAGCGCTTATGTTATGCTATATATTGGAGAGCAGTTGAGAGCAGTCGAGAGCACTGAACGAGCAGTTGATGTGAGTATTGGTTGAGAGACAGAGTCAGCGAAGAAATGGCCGAAAAGTGAATTGAATTAAAAAATGTGATGAGAAGTGAGTCGTCGTCGCAGTTGTCGTCGGATTAGGCTTTCGGTCAACAACTGTGTCATCGCTTTCGGCCATAAGATGTGTAAATTAAGGCTTTTGAGTCCGTGCGGGGCTGAACCTGCGGAGTATGTCTGGCCACTCACCTCATCGGTATGTAGACATCACCAACACTTCCCACAACACTATACTAATGATACCATCGCTTGTTCTTCAGGATAAATATGACGGCGCCATCGAAATCGTCGACACCATTAGGTATGCCATCCATTCATATGAATGGATATACCATTGCTCTTATCCTCTCATCCAATATATAACCCATATTTACAATTAGAGGTTAAGGGTTAGGGTTAGTGTCAGGGGTGGACACAAGTGGCCAAATGTGGTCACATCTGGTCAAAGCATGTGCTGATGTATTGTTGTGTGCGGTTTAACCTCCAAAACAATTATCAGTTGAAAAATGTTATCTTTAATAGTTTCCCAGATATCGGGACCCAAGAGTTCCCATAGAAACCCATTATAAAAATGTTTTTTAAATATATTTTTTAGGTTTTGTTAGATTCGGTTTAATTTAAAATTGCTTTATAATGGCTTTGATTAGTATCACTATTAAGACATTGAATCCAATGTGTCTATTGGTTAAGAGTAATGTGTTGTTTGTATTTTTTGTAGGAAAGCATTAGATATTTCATGAGTTGATTGAAAGTGAAAAGTGTTTCACAAGAAAAATGATGACAATATAGTTATTTAGAAATACTTTAAGTCATTGGAAATGTGTTTTACAGTTATTTCTTTAATACTATTAATATTAAAAAATTAATTATTTATTAATTCATTACAATTATTGGGTTTTGACAACAAATCGATAATTTATACAGTTTTTAATGATTTGTTTTTTTACTAATTCAATGACTGATAGAAATGCATGCTTTAAGATCTAATCCGTGTTAAATAGCCGGCAAATCATACAATTAGAGCCAATGGTTACAATGGCAACAAAATCATTGACAATTATCATTACAATACCTTAATTAACAATAATAACGTAAAGCATTGAGGTTTTTATTTGAAAAAATATTAATTTACAATTTAAATGAGAATATATTTAAATTTTAAATATAGTATAAATATTAACACATTTTTGCATTTCATTGATAAGTAAGGAATGACATAGTATTTGAAGAAACCTTGAAATATTTAAAAATAGTTGTATTAATAGATGATGTGTTAAATATAGTTGAAATTTATATGAATTATTGTTTTATGTGAATCAGGAATGTCTGCGAGGATTACCCGGACATCAAAAAGGCTATGGAGATGAATGTCCTCAACGCTTACGATACCAAATGGTTGTGTTTTTTGCATTTTTAGATGAATTTGTTAACTAATGATAAATATATTGTCTCCAGTTATGATAGTATGAAAACATTGTGTGAGAAATATAATCGTGTGATACAAAGAACTCTACCCCTGGTATGTGTGGACAATATGGTGTAATTTGAATGATTGATTAAAATGTGTTTTGTTGTGATGGTGTAGTGGAAGGGACAGACAGTGCGAACGCCTACGAAGCCGTCTACGAATCTACTGAAACACATAATCCAAAAGGTGTACAACTATTCGGTGAAAGATCCAGAAAAGCTCAACCAATACGAGCCCTTCTCACCGGAAGTATACGGCGAGACGTCATTCGAGTTCATCTCACAAATGATTGATGAAATCTGTTTGACATCAGACGACGTGTTTGTGGACTTGGGTTCAGGTGTTGGACAAGTTGTGCTACAAGTGGCCGCCACTACCAATTGCCGCAAATGTATTGGCATCGAAAAAGCGGACTTCCCTTCCATTTACGCCCAGGTATGCACTCATTTAATATCATTTATTATATTTAATTAACACATGGTATTTAAGTGAGACTTATTTGTAAGTTAATTAATATTAATTATTAATGTATTATTTGATTAGAAAGTGATCAAATAAATGTGTATATTGTTATATGTAGTACATTTAATAATGATATAAAATTAACATTGTTAGTTTTATATTCCAAACTGTAAAATGAATAGATATAACTATAGACGAATCAAGATGCTAATTACTTTTTAAAATGAGAAATGTACAAGAATTGGCAATCGAGCCGCAATTGCATTATAATTTATACTCATCTATACTATCATAAACGATGATTCATATATAAAGTAACATTCATTTAGAATCGGGGTACTATTTTTATATTCATATTAAATACTTAAGGGTAGACTATAATTACAAATAGCGTAACATTTATCATGAGTAATGTATAATAGATTACCAAGTTTAAAAAAATTAATCACGTCTACCTTCGAGACTGTGGCAATCACTGGAAATGTAAAATCAAAGTGACCTAACATTTACTTTAGACAAAAAAGTAATTTCTGAATTGTTTGCACGATTTAGGACATGGACTATAGGTTTAGGTTTTGGATGCGTTGGTTCGGCAAAAGACACGGCGAGTATCAACTGATTAAAGGAGATTTCTTTCACGACGACCACAGAGAGATCATTAATAACGCGACGTAAGAATCGCTTTCTATTAGATTTTGTTCATATGACTGATATTTAATTGATATTTAGATTCATTTTTGTGAATAACTTCGCTTTTGGTCCAAATGTTGATCATATGCTTAAACAACGATTCGCTGATATGAAAGACTGCGCTAAGATTGTGTCCTCCAAAGCGTTTTGTTCACTCAATTTCCGTATAACGGATCGCAATTTGAGTGGTATTTATATTTTGTTTGCATTTAAAAAATAGTTTCAATGATTAAATGTATGCATAAATGTAGACATCGGCACAATTATGGACGTCACGGAAATACAGCCCAAAAAGGGTTCGGTCTCGTGGACAGGAAAACCTGTTTCATATTATCTGCATATCATCGACAGAACCAAATTAGAGCGTTATTTCGAAAAACTCAAGAATCCAAAGCTTAAGGTTGTTTTGAATTGTCATTTGTTTTGAGTTCTGTTTATAACGCGAATCACTATTTGTTTTAGAATCACAATCAAAGTCATAGTAATAGTAATGAAGACGAGAACAGAAATAAAGAAGAGAACAGAAGTAAAGACGAGAACAGAATTAAAGACGAGAACAGAATTAAAGACGAGAACAGAATTAAAGACGAGAACAGAATTAGAGACGAGAATCGGAATAAGAAATCAAATAAAGTGGAAAGCATTGCGAGCACTGACTCCTCGTCTAATGACTCGAATAAGGAAGAAATGAAAGACAATTCCGGGAATTTTCCCAAATGGACCCGAAAGGCGTGGTCCGAGTGGTGCAATAGTAGTAATAGTAAAGGCTCTGCCAATCAGAGCAGTGGTAGTCAACACAACGGCAGCTCTGATCACGAGAGTAACGAAGAAACAGAGAATATTCCCCGAAAAAAGAAATACAATCGCGTGGGAAGACCGCGAAAGTATCCGTTGGGCGTTAGCGCTGCCATTAAACGCGCTAAACGTAAGCACACATTGATTATCGATAGTCCCGGTCGACGGCCCGGAAGGCCGCGAAAGAACGGAATCGGAACCAAGAAAGCGAAGAAGTCTATGATGTTTAATGGTCTCGATTTACTTCACGCTCAAACAGTTCTGAGTATCTCATCGGCTGCCGGCCATCGACTCGATCCGGCGCCCGGATGTGTCGACCAGAAGTTGGATACTTCCTGTAGAGTGACTTCAGTGCCTAATGTTGTATTTAGAGATACGTCTCTGTTCTCTGTTTCTCCCGATCTGACGGATCTGTTGGACACTTGGAAGCAACAGATTCTCCAATTTATAACATATATGCAAACGCCTCAACACAAAGATATCCTTAAACAACAGATTGAGGACGAAAAGGTAATCTATTTATCTATTTGTGAGGGAAATTATTAATAAAAATGTATTTCTATGTTAGAAACGAAACGTTGATTTGATCTCTCAATTGAATTGTTTGGAAAGACATATAAAAGGATTGCTCGAAAAGGGCGTGAGTTTATTGAAATCACGACTATTCGAGTTGGGTATCAAAGCGTCGACTTCTAATGAATTGCTCGAAAGGGGCCGAGAAATGGTGGCTCACAATCGGCAGCTCCAAAACAAAGAGGCCTCTCTCCAGAAGATTGTCAGTAGTCTTGAGGCCAAAAATAATCAACTCATGAATAAAAGCCTTCCGAAAGATACAGTGAATTGTAATAATCATTCGTTGAATGGTTTCCGAAAAAACAAAAGCACTATATTATCGGAATTGACTGCAATGTTGGAACAGAAGAGACAATTATCTTCTAAAGTGAGTCAATTAGAAGAAGAGGTTTCGTTTCTGGAGAAGTCACAGACAGTAATGACGACGAGTAAGTCTCGGCCGAACCCGGACTATGCACTCACTTGTGAACCGCATTCAAGTGTTATTGTAAAAAATGACTCTAAAGTGAAAAACATCTCTAATTCGATAAAACTAAACAATTATGAGGAGAGAATCAATTCGTTGATAATTCAGGCGCTGAACGACGAGAACAGCACTTTTCCAAAGAATTCTCATCGAAAAGGAGTTAAGAATCTTAAGGAACAAAACGATATCAAATTCAATGCCAAAGAAAGCGATATTGTTTTGAATGACAGCAATAAATGTGATAAAGAATCGCATAATTCTTATTCTCGTGAAAGTATTAACGTTACGAAGAACTGGAATCCGAGTGAAAGTCTTAGTGCCTTAACTAATGAATCCAATCCTTCTAAAAGTCATTCTCCAAAGAAGTCGAGTGACAAGAATCACGACAAAAGACCACTCCTTATGACTTTAAAAATTGACCGCAAAGACAACAGCGCTTCGGTTAAAGAATACAAATCTCTAAACGAACCGTATTTGAAATCTAATGATACCATTAATGTTAAACACAAGAGGAAATCCAGTGATGAATCGACTCATTCTAATCGAAAAAAGTATGTTTTCAAAGCAATTATTGTTAAATGAAAAATGACTCATTTTGTTGCATATGATTTAGATTTTCGAAATCTCCGTCTTCGTCACCCAAAAACAGCGACAATACTCGCCGACAATCCGTTGTGATAAAGTTAACCACCATTTCTGATGACAAACAAACTGCCGATGAAGTGATTAAGATTGAGAACACGGTTACCGAACCTAAACGTCCTGAACGTACGTTTTTATCTCTATTTAACACGATTTCAATGTTTGTTGTATTCATATAAATATTATGTTTAATAGAAATGAAAATGAAAGCAATGAATTGTAAGTACGAATCGACACCAGTATTGAACGGCAAACACAAGTGGAAGGATAGTATTGACAGTCGTTTCAACAAATTGGTTGCTTTGGTTGAGCATCAGATCGAACCGCACAAACCTAACCACCCATTGATTGAAACGGATAACACATTAACAATAAATATTAGTAAATATGATGTTTTAACACAGCATTCCTCCACAAACTTTTAACCAAACTTTTAACTAAATTATTAGAATTTATTGAAAAATGTACATAATTTGTAAAGTGTTTTAACTGTTAGGTAACCCCTTATAGTTGTTTTACTGCTATACGATTAGCTGCACACAACTCACATGTTTACCACTGAAATAGACATTTGCAACCAATCGTATAGCAGTCAAATGGGTTCAAAGAGTTTAAAATGACTTTATATAAGACTGAATTAAAGTAAAATATGGTTATCATAATTGAATATACTGTTAATCGCTAACATATAAATCATACATAACTGTATATATACTGCCATATACTTGGGATGTGCATCGCTGTGCACGTGAATAATTTACATATAGGTTTACATTATAGTTACAATTGAAAGCACTTTAACTGCCAATTTACCATTTAATAGACCACTGCCACAGACACTGCCAGTGAAGGTGTAAATATGTTTTTATTAATTTTCTAAACGTCTTGTGTTTGTGTTTAAATTAATTATAAAACGGTATTTCGTTTTATGTGTTCAATGAATCAATTTTTAAGAAAATATGGTTTAATGTGTTTAATAAATTTTATGTGTAATTAATATACTATTGATTATTAAGGCGATAATTATTCAAAATACCTATTATTCAAATGTTTTTAGGGAATGTTACTCTACATGTAATATTCGTTTTGATCTTACATTACGTGTCATTTGCCGTAATATTCTGTAAGAATTGAATTAATTTATAATTATTAATAACTAATGTAGTATTATATAAGCTATTAAATAAAAATTTAATGCTAATTTGATGATAATTTTATTAAAATATATCGAAATCAACAAATTTTCGTACAAATAATTTATTAGCAAAATAAGCTCTGATTTTATTATTAATATCGATGACATTAATTGCTAGTCTGGAAATTACATGTAAGATTCAGAACATATTAAGGTAATTTACTGTTAATTATACAGTTGTAGTAGTAATATTACACGAGTAACAACCCGAATGTTTTTACTGTTTGTTTTCAAGAATTTAGGTAAATATAATAAATTCTTGATATTTTTTATTTTTAGTCTATAAAGTTTTTTTGTGTGTATTTTTTCTAAAGTTTAAATCATATGTTTTGACCGATCGTTAAAAAATGTCAATTTTATAACACATTTACACAATAAAAACCTTAAAATCTAATTTTGTCTTTTTATTAATAAAACCATATTTCTTGTGTTTTATCACGTTTTACATGTTTAAACACATAACCGCCTTCACTAATCATACAATCTAGCTTAAACTAATTAAATTAATTATACAAAACCATTCCATATACATGAATGAATAAGTGTAAAAGAAATGAATTCAAAATAATTTGTACTCTAATTTATTGCATATTAATACTGTATTATTAATGTATGTAATTTTTATTGAACATGGTCATTTATGCCATTAGTTTTTAATTTGAAATATTTATACAATATGAATAATTTATTGAATGACCATGGACAATGCACCATGATGGTGAATAATAAAATACACTACACTTATACCTCTATATTTCGAACCGTTTGGGTTATGTTTGTCTGAGTTTTAGAGGGTTTCGAGTTATAGAAAGTTTTGGGAAAATATTGGATTATTTATGAAAAAGTTTGAGTTATAGAGGTTTGTGTTTTTATTGACAAATTTATCTAATTGTATGTCATTTTAATTAAAAATTGTTGTATTTATTAAAATAAATTATAATTAAAAGTACAATTTAAGAGAATATGAATAAATGATCATGTTTAGTTTATAAATTGTCGTAATAAAGTGTGCATTTTTGCATATTGGTAAAAGTTGGATCAATGAAGAAGTTATTGGATATGTCAAAATTTGTGTACAGAATATTGTGGAATAAATGGGTTCCAGTTTTGCAAGTTTTTTAATAATGGGATGTCTATTATGGGAGAGTTTGGGTCACAGAGAGTGGCAAAAGATATATTCAGATTCACAATCAGAATCTCCACTTCAGATCTACTATTCATTTCATATGGAATATTCACGAATAGTGAATGAATCACTCATTACTGTCACACTCTATGATTGGCAGCCAATGAACGACATTCACATCACGTGACCAATGATTGGCTCACTTTATGTGAAGTAATGTTTTGAAATCATTAGTGATTTTGTGTTTCAATTGATTCATAGATCTAATGATTGATTCGCTATTGTTTTGGTTAACAGTGCTATTGGTGTCCAATATTGTGCTGATTATCATCTTCTGGAACAATTACGGCTCAAGAATACAGACACTGATCGCCAGAAACGAAGAGAAACAACAAATACTAGGTTTGACTCGCGATGACTGCAATCATTACAATCACACCATTTGGTGATCATTTGATGTCTTCTTTTCAGACCAATTACGTCGGGAAGCGTTGGAACTGAAGCTTCCGAAAGAGCATTCGCCACGAATTTAGACATCGATTGTCTCAACAGTTGTCTCATTCGATGGCAAACGCTATCAAAGACTTCTTCAAGAAGAAGAAATTGGACGCAAAGTTTATGGGAGTCGGAAGTGGACACCGATTGGCAGACAGTACTTCTTCGTCCACTTCCGGCACCACTTCTTCGGCCAGTAATTCAAACATCAATCAAACGAATGCAAAGAATCCCAAGAATATGACGACACAAAAGGCTGCGGAGGCGGCCATTGAGCGCATCCAAAGACAACAGTCCACTAATAAAAGCAATACTTTAGAGAATATTCTTCAGGAAGAGAGACAAAAGATTAGCGAAGAATACAGAATGAAAGAGAAAGCGGAGGTATTTATCACTCTTTGGTTTTGTGTTATAACTTATGATTTGAAATGTATTTTGAATGAAGTGTTTAGTGAAAGAAGAAGAGAAGTTGGATAAGAAATACAAAGATTTCGATGCAAACCAACGCTTCAGTTGTCCGACAATTGAATTAAACGAATCGCTAATAATGGAGGAACTGTTGGAACAGATCCTTGATTTTATTCAAACCAATTTTGCCGACGATCTCACGCTTATGTCTGTCTTAACGTTAATTAATTGCAATTCCAGTCCCAATGAAGAGTCCGAACACAGAGTCGAGGAATGTATTAAAACGTTGGATAAAGTGGTCAGTAATTTAGAGAACAGTAGTCCAGACGAGAGACAGAAGTTCAGCAAAATTAGGAAATCAAAGATTGAGAAAAAAGTGTTGGAATTGAAGGGCGGACTCGAGTTCTTGGTATCGATTGGCTTTGAAGTGGACTCCACTGACGAATGGCTTGTGTTTAGTGATGAGACGCCAGACATAAGGGACCAAATGTCTTATTACAGGGATGTGTTGAATAGCGCCCAAAAATTTCCGTTAATTCTCGACAGACAAACCGTACGCTTAGAGAGCAATCAAAAGACACAAAATCAGGACTTAAGTCAAGACTTTTTCCGACTATCGACTGATGAAGTGGTCCGTGAAATGCAAACATTGACTGATAAGAGAGAAACGGAAGAAACGCTGCGAACCAAAGCCATGAGAGAAACGAAGAAACGAAATATTAATTCAAAGTTCTCTCGTTTGAGGTTTAGATTCGCAAATGGTGTGCAAATTGAGGCCACTTTCGGCTCCAACGAGACGTTAGTTGACGTCAAGAATTGGTTATTAGAGCGCATGGAAAGCGATAAAGAGTTTAATTTAAAGTGTGTTCACGAAGTGTTTACTCAACAACACTCTAATCAAACTCTCAAAGCTCTGAATCTGGTGCCGACGGCAGCCCTTCTTATTGTATCAAAAGATGATTAAATTATTTGTTATTTCATTATTAAATGCTAACAAAGAGTACATTCATATGAATAATAAAATTGATATAAATTATTTTAATCGAGATGTTTCATAAGTTAAGTATTTTTGTTGTTAATTCTGTTTTATTATTAATTTATTTGTTACGAAATTACTTTCAGTGTATAAATAAAAAGTGTATTTTCAAAATTAATAAAACAATAAACATTCATAGATGGAGACAATACCATACACATCCGGTGTAAGCTTTAATACAGGGAATGCTATCATATGGTGTTTATATTGTGTTATTAATTTTGAAAATACACTTTTTATTGATACATTGAATGTTAATATATAAGTAAATTTACATTATTAGTTAATTTACTTCATTTAACAAATATTGCAAAACATATTTTGTATAGTTTTGAGAAAATTAAATGATTTTACAGATAATAAAAGTTATAATAGAAATCAAATGCGAGAAAAACTTCAACTCTTTCCAAATTGCCATAACATTAGACATCGTCGATGACTGGAAAGCAATTTAAAAGTTAAATAAATTAGTAAATGTTGAGAGAGAGGGATGGGGTGTAGAGGTGTGTCTATACCTCTTCTTTGCCATCAAATGTAGATCCAAGATATGCGAGATGAGTGATGGCCAGCACTGAGAACAACACATTGACCACAAAAACCCATTTGCAGTTGTATTGAGTGTTGTTATGTTTCCATTTACTGACACATACTTTGGGCGAATCATTAAACCTGAAGACATTCCAAGAGTTCACTGAATTGTTACTATCACTTGAATCGATGTGTTTGTGAAGACATCGTCGGACATGAATGCAAGCGTTGAATATTTTAGACAACTCTTCCCTTAAATCGTATTCAAGTTTTGTAAGGATTCCTAAACTCAAGAGAACACTCCATATCTGAAAATTGAAGCCCTATTCGCATGAAAAGACATCAAACAATCTTATAATACATAAAACAGACAATTGTTTTGAGAATAAGTCATACGTGAAGAAAAGAACTGATGAAATATGTAATAAAAATTGCTTGAAATGCACCAAAACTTTTCTTTGAAGAGTTGAATACATCTTTGAAAAGAATAAAAATTAATAATACAATAACTAATGGCAATGATTAGTCATAAAACTATGGTAAATACTGTACGTGTTTTGAGCCATATATGCATAGGAATATTCCAGGCGACCACAACATCAACCATAGATCGGGGTAACTCTATTTGCATTGGATTCGTTACTTTCATACTATCAAATACAGACATAACAATCATAAGACAATATCATGTATTGAACAAATTGTTGAGCATTTACTCTGAGTTCCATAACTGAAGCATTGATTGAGTGGCAAAACAGATGAAATAATGAGAACATCTGAACTGAAGTGCAGTTATATAAACAGTTAAACAAATCTCGATTAAGTAAGCGAAAGACATTGGCATTACAGTCACCAAAGAGGTAACAATAAATGGGATAAGTTTGTGGCCGATATACTGATGGATCAAACACGTGGACAATAGTAGAAACACAATCGAAGTCAATAAATGGTAAATGCATTCAATGAGTGATAAAATAAACGATTTATTAGTTTTGATGACATCGAAGGGATGCCAAACACCCAGTAATGAAGACAACGGATGTAATAAATAACTAAGCGATGCGATCAATGTCTTAACTAAATCAATCTCTTTCTCCTTATTATCTCTGTTTTCATTAACCATTGAATTAAATGAAATTATTTTCATAACTAAAAGCATTTGATGCGAACGAAGACGAATGAACGCCGGACTCAACCAAACCATCGTCTCGTTAAGACATATGAAACCAATGGAAACCATCCAAACAATGGTCTTATGTTTGGATGTGATGAGTGAGACAAGAGATCCAATTGATATAAAGGCACATAAGATGGCAAACAAATTCAAGTCATCGTAAAAGTGAAATAAAAGTAATGAAAGTCCGGTTCCGATGGTTAGTAATTGTTTGACAATTATATTATCAATTAATACTGTCATTAACTTTAAGATAACATTTGAGACCAGAATCGGCGCCAAAAACTTATTCAATCCGTCAGAAAGTGTCGGATAAATGCAGTCTTTCATCAAATCGTAATTGTCTTCACTCTCGTAGTCGACGTCTAAAACAATTATATAATTATTGCAATTAATTTATAACACATTTATTGTATATTTAGTTAATCCAACACTTGATCTCAAATCAAAGTTCTAATAAAAAGTTGACAAAAATTAAAAGTTTTAAATTTTAATCATTTTATAATAAAAGACATTAGAGATGTTGTGCCGCAAAGTGTGGCCAATAAAGCAAAACCAAAAACAATATCATTTCATCTAATCTTTTGAACAATTAGTTTAAAAGTTTAAAATGAAAGCAAATAATCAAACCATTGCTTACAATCAGATTGAGTCAAGTCTTGCGTATAATCGCTGTATTCCTCGTAATAATCCATTTGACACTCAATTCAATCAAATATTTAGCAATTAATTCAATTCAATAACAAATAATCAAATGTCGCGACAATTAATGACAATATTTGACACGTTTTGGTAACAAAATAAAAATTGAAACATTTTTTCACACATTTTACGCAAACACTCAAAACTTGTGGCAAATATTTCGACCAAAAACTGTTTGCATTCAAAGTGTTATTAAAATTTCACAAATAATTTGCACTTTATTTCCATAAATGATAAGAAAATGTCTTTAACCACAATTCAGTATGAAGAATGTGGTTTATAGGATCGTTCGGCCCCCCCTCCCCCTCCCCCCCTCCCGGCCCCCCCCCACCCTATGGGATTTAACATG